TCTGCCTCCGGCGAAGTGCTGGAGGGAAGGTGAGGTTGGAAGGGGGCGGGAGCGGGGGGCGGCAGGCAAGGTTCACCCTTTCCTTGAGATGCTGCCTGTTTGCATGACAGACCCTCTGAAGCAGGAGCTGTATCTCCCCTTCCTTCGTGCGCTGTGTACGTTCAATAAATAGTGCGTTTCCAGGCGTGGGTGTGTGTCTGTGGGTTTGGGAGCTAGAGGCAGAGACCCCTGCCAGTGATTTTCCATGAGATGCTCAAAACCCTCTGGGCTGAAGCTCTCCAGCTTGTCCTACTCACGAAGCCCTAACCAGGCACAGTTTGCAGCTGCGCGCAAGTGCACGCTCCTCCAACTGCAAGGTAGAAGGAAGGCAACAGGACTGTTTTGAATGAATTGGGCTGGGGATGCGGTTAAACGGGCCAGGGAAAGACTAAGGCAGTGACAGTATATCGCTGTGTGCTGTGCTACATGGCAAAGGGCTCTTGAGGCGCACGTAGTTGGCATTAGGAGCACCCGTGTCATGGGGATAATTTATTCCCTGCTTCCTCTAACCCCCTGCAAAAAAATCTGTCAAAAATACAGAGTTGTCCATGTCACTTGTGTCAACACCAGGGTTTTGGGGTGCCCAGGCAGAACTGACACACCAAAGGGCTGAGGAAAGCCAGCTAAACTTTCTTGTGCAGACCTAGTTGAAAGGGGAGGAGGAAGAAGAAGGAAACAAGTAGAAAATACACAGGAGAATAAGAGAGGAAAGAAAGACTGTGTAGAAGGCAAGGGAAGTGCCTTGGTTAGGAAGTACCTGGAGAAAACTTTCTGTAAAACTCTGAACCGTGCCAGATGGATGTTTTTGTGAGATTGCCCACAGGAAATTACATGACCCTTAAGCAGTCCTTCTTACTAGCTCACATAGCGCTCACTGAAAATACATCTGCAAGAGGTTCCTGGTAGCTTAAAAGCAGGACTGGATAAACCACAAAATCCGCAAGCATGTTACGTGATCAGCATCACTGTCTTCACATGGGAATCCCCAGTTATGTAAAGACACCATTAAAAAAAAAAAGGATTGCCAAACTGTGAGAGTTGTAAAATGGCATTTATATATGCTAGAGAGAAAATCAAGTAGGAGAGGACATAAACATTTAAAAAATAGTGAATGACATAGAGAAACTACAGTAACTGCTGTTTGTTGATTATTTTTAAGCAAAAACGGGGCATGTTTCATGAAGCTGTCAGAACATTTAAAATTAATTAAAAGGAAAAGATGCAAAATTACCCCATGGAATTTATTCTCAGATGTTATCACCTGGGCCAAGACCTCAGCAGAATCCAAAAGCCATCAACCATACAAGTGAATAACGTTAACATCCATCATTGTCTTACTTAAGGATTTAAAAATAAACTTAAAAATTGGAAGGTATATAAACACACGACAAGTGGCTGACAGTCACTTGAGGAAGAACTCTCCCATAGATGAACTCTGATATAATTCTCCTGTTGGTGCTCTGTTCTTGTACCTTCTTCTGAGTCACCTGCAACTGATTAGGATATTCCAATAGTGGGATCAGTAGTCCAACACGTTACAGCAGTGTTACATCTGTGTGTTCCTGACCTTGAACATCCGTACTTCTTAACTGGAAGGTATTTGATTGCATCTTTGAAACTGTACTCTTCTTCCATCTGTCTCTGACTCTGAAGGCCCATTTATACCAGTGAAACACTATCTTAAAGGGACAAGGAGCAACACGAACGGCCAGAACCTACTGCAATTATATACTGCAGATGAGAGCAAACACACTTTTAGGCATTTTATAGAAAGTTTGTTTGCAATTTTGATGAAACATTTCTGCTTTCCATTCTAAACTCTCAACCACTGATTGCATAATTAGTGCTTTCAGTAACTGAGTCAGTTTGTGTTTAAAAACAAACACACCTGTAAATCATATACCATTTTTCCCTGTGTTGAAATGCTATTGCACTTGTTAGATTGTCTCCCTGTGTTTCTCTGAGCTTCAAAGAGATAACCCTGGTAAGGAATAGCATGTAGGAGAACAGTTTATTCCCCAAGGAACTGTAGGTAACTGCTCCTAGAAGTCATCCTCTGAGTATCAACAAACTTCTCATATTTAAGTATTTTATTTCCATTTCCTTTATCTCTTGCAGAACAAATTACAAGGCATATTTTCATGTTGCTGTCCAAGTGACTGTGGCAAGAAAGAATTTGTTTTCTATAGCTGGCCTCTCTTTGCACCTCCTGGTTTAAAGTGCCTCTCCTGACCTCATAAAAGTTCCCATATCCTCTTATTCATGGCCCTCTGTTTCCCTTGGATTAAACAGTACCCCTATTGTTAATCCATAGCACCTGCCGCATAGGCCCCTCAGCTTTTCATGCTAGCTGAGTTAATGAAAAGGCTGGGGTTATTCACTCAAAGGCTTTAAAATTCCATTAAAAAATCAGAAGAGAAACAGCAGATAGTACTGTGATGAGCAATACCACAAGTATCAATCATTTGTATTATTTGCATAGGTCATTATTTCAGGCTATCCAGTCCAAAAGGAAATCTCTTTCAGCCAAGCTGTATGCCTAAGACACATTTGCTGTACAGATGTTTCCTAGAACAGTCTGAAATGAATGAATAAAAGTCAGAAAATGTTTTAGATGGAGCAAATAGAAGACATTATTTGGGCAAAGGAAACCTCTCATGTAGTGGCAAAGGGTGCATATTGTACCGAGTGTGAGCTATGAGAAACAATTAGATCTCTTCTAGCCTGTGCCGTTCTCCACTTGGAAGTCTTTATTTTTGGCTGGCTGATGGCTGTGATCTAGACAACGCCTGTCAATTCTGCATCTTTCACTTTTCTGTATCTATTCAAATTCTGGCATCTCCAACATTTCTTTCAAATGTTATTATATATCTAGCCATAGTTTTGAGTAAGCTGATGGGTGTATTAGCATGACTAGCGTTTTTCCTTCTTTAGTACAGTGCAGCGTGCACAGCAAGGATGAGGCTGGTCTGCGCAGGGTACAGAATTTTCTCTGAGCCATTTGTTGAAATTTCAAGACTTTTCCATATAATCATTCACATCTCTTAGCCTAAGTATTTACACATGGCACATTTTATGTCCTTGCATGTTCTACCATCAATCTACGGTAGCATATGTACTAAAGAAGAAAAAAAAAGAATAAACCCCCTACCAAATCGACCTACACACCACTGCAACACACTTCTTCACTCATGGACAGATAACGAGTGAACAAACACCACATGACAGATGTTAGTCATGCTGCTTAATGAATAACTGGTGATGAGTACAATACCTGTATGGAATGGCTATAATTTGTTCAAGGAGCAAATATGCATTTGAACCATCTGTTTTTCATTGGAATACTTACAATGTTCAAGAGAAATGTCTCTATCAGAGAGTCCAGATATTTCAGCATTTGTCTGTGTGTGTACTTCCTTGACTTCCTCATTCCTCAGCCATTCACAGCAGTCATTGGATCTTCAGAACGGGATGGTGAAGTCCTCTTTCCTTTAAAATAGTTCACAAAGAAAGACTCTGGCCTTCTCCTTCTGCTTCACCATGGCCTGAATCTTGCAGGCGAACACTGCTAGTACCAAATGTTTATTATGGTCCTTGGTATTGACCATATGGTCCTTGGTATATACATTCATATCAGTCACCTGGACAGCCCAGAGTAGAGCTGCACAATGCCCCCCAGCTTGGGCAGTATCAGTCCTGGAGTGAATTTCACCATCACGATAGCTGGAGCATGTTACTATTCTAGATAGGATGATCAAGGCTCGCTAAGCTCCATAGAAACAGAATCAGCGAATAATGAAAAATATCTGCTATTTGGATATGTAAAACATCATTGCTAAATCTTATTTTTATGTAATTAAGAAGAAGTGATATTCTATTTGTTTATAATAATATGTATGAGTCTGCACATTCCTCTGACACTTGTTTCCCAAACAGGTTTACATTAACATGTATTAATCTTGTGTCAGAGTGCAAAAAGATATCTCCAATGTTATGGCATCTGCCTGAATGTGCCAGAGGCGGGAAGAGGTAGGTCTCCTCTTCTCCCAGCTGGGCTGTGCAGTTGGATGCTGGTGTGCCAGGCTGTGCACTGGAGGGCTTGGTTGTGCCTGGCAACTCCCACATCCCCGCTGGGCTCTATGCCTGAAGTGCGGTGCTCACATTTTGTTGGTCAGCTTTATCACCTGCCACTAGAGATGTTCCCACCTACCTCTTCCCTTTATAGAAGCAAAGTCACCACGCTAATTCTAGCAGAGGAAAGGCAGAAAGAAGGTTGATGGCTTTTCTTTTTTTTCCCTTTCGGGTGAGTACATTCCTGTAGGTAACAAATGAGGATAGCTATACACCCTACAAGCATCTAAAGGGATCACATTCTCATAATTTCTTCTCTTAAATCCTGCAGCAAAGGCTTGTGAGGTTATTTTAGATCTTAGCTGGGTGTAAAAAAAAAAAAAAAGAAAGAGGGAGAGTTGGGTACACACAGCTAATGGGGAATGAGTTTTTAAGATTTTTTTTTTTGTATGGACTTCAGTTGTGTCTGTGCGTGGTGTACTGGAGTGAAAGAAGGCTCACGGCCCATGCTGTCATCAGGCATGAACTTCTTCCTCCTTAAAGGAATTTTGTAAGAATACAAGAGTTCCTGGCACAGCCTACTTCCACAGCCCCTTCGCCTGCCACATGGTCCTTTGTGGTTCCTCCTACATAATGTGTTTTATCAGAAAAGAAGACAGCAAAGGCTGGGGACACAACACCCACAGCTCTGCTGCATGTGAGGTGCTTACAAGCTCTTTATGGCTCTTAACTTATGGTTTGTACCTTCCTGGACCATAAGGAGATGGGGAATTAAGAGGGTTTGGAGGGAACTAGATTTCAGTGTTCATTGCCTTGCAATGGTTCCTCCCACAAGCCAAGACCCAGGGCAGAAGTAGTAAGCAAATCCTGGTCACTAGCAGATAGACCTCTAGGGAGGCAACGTGGCACAAAATTAAGAGAGTTAGAACATTAGGAAAAATCCACCCGATCTAGCGCTTCAGTCAACAGCTACGCTATTGTCACTGGTGTAAGAAGCAAAGCTGCCTGTGAATTATAACTTACACTGGGCCCAGCATCACAGTGAGCATCATGCTCTTGGCTCTCAATGACTTTGCAGGGATTTTTTCAGGGGTGGGGGTGTCACAGTCAATTACAAGACAACCCATGACTAAGATGGAAGGGCAACTCAGATGCTGGAGGTTTTCCTCATTTTGTATAGCACCTTAGCACTACTTTGTTCTTCATTCTGCCCAGTGGCCTCTCTGTCTCAAGGGTGGGACAAAGTCTGGAGAAACGGGAGAAGCTGTGAGTGAAAGGGAGCAAATTCAAATTGCCCACATTGCTGCTGTGTGACAGCAGCGTTCCCTTCGGGAGCTCACGGAGAATCCCTCCTCTCCCAGATCAGAGGAGTAACGGTGTCGGCAATGAGATTTGGGAGGTGCCTGGCCAAATGCAGAGTTGAGGGAAGGCAGAGGGCATATGAACAGATAGCCCCCAACTATGCCTGGGGATCTGCTGAATTTGCGAAAATCTCTGGAGCAGCTGTGGGAGAGGGAGAGAAGAGGGATGGGGAAAGGCATGCTGACTCCATCAATAAGGGTGAGATGGTGCTCTGTAAGGGCATCCTAATAGAGATGAACTCCCTTCACGTCTTCTTTCACTCAAGAGGACCATCTGAGCCAGCCAGCCAGCTGTCCCCAGTGTATATTGCATTACCAGTATGGGTTATAGAAGCTAATGGTTAGCAGGCTGTTAGAGGTTTCACAACTCATTTCCTCTAAATGTTAGCTATTTCTTTTGCCAAAGAGAGGAGAAAGAGAGGGAGAGGGAGGAGGAGGAAATAAAAACTACACAGGGTAGTTCATCTATGTAAAAGGTTAATTCAGTAGAGAGATGGGTGAACTCTGAAGATGGCACTGCTTCAGTCAGGATAAAAAGTTCAGTGATTTCCTTGCACATGTTTGAAATTGTAACAAGAAAGCCTGTGTAACTAACGGGATCATGCTGCAAACAGCCAGGTTAGCAGCCTCCGCTCAGGAAATCTTGCTGATTGGGGATATTCACAACAATAAAGATTCCCTAGCTGGAGAGCCTGGCTCTTATGTCTGCCTCGTCTTCTGCCTTTGCTTCACTCCCTACTCTCACTGCCAATCTTTTGCAATTCAGTGACAATCACAGTTAATAAAAGGTGTGTCTGCGATCCTATACAGCAATTTACATCATCATCTTTCATGATGAAATTTTCACAGGGGAAGGAGGAGCAGCAATATTTTGCCCAAGTTAAGGTTGCACTGGCAGTATACCAAGAAGCCTGAAGCACTTAATTTTCATAAGAGAGATCTGATTACAGCGGCCTGTATGTGAGTAAAGAAGTCTATCCTGCAGAAACTATAGCCCCTCCACTCCTGCTTCCAAGAAAAGTCTGCATGGAGTCTGGAGCTTACCCTCTTGCGTTACTGACACTGTGTGGCAAGCACATGGACCGGCTTGGGCTGCTGGCTGAGGTTATTGTACTACATGTACAGCAGACCACCCAACAGCTGCCTCTGCCCTTCTGAAAACATAGTTTTACTTAGTTGGGTTGAGGGAACTGCACTGCTTTCACTAAACAGAAGTGGCCAGAGCCTGACGGCTGACGTTAACTGTGTTGTATGTTATTTTAATTTGTTTCTATTATAAACAGATGACAATGCAACTTCCATTTTGACAAAAGGAACTGATAACTGACACAGAGCTATTAAAACAATAAGCATTGTTGTAACAAATAAGCATTGTCTAAGCCAGTTGAATAAAAGAACTGTCAGAAACGTCTTCTGCTGTTCTGTCTAGTGTAAATACAGCAGCCTTGCTTAATAAACAAGGCCTCATTTAGTTTTGGGCTTGCCTCAACACTAGTCTTTTACAGGAACTTGGGACGAGATCATTAAACCTGCATGTATCAGCTGAAGACCTGCTTCTCAAATTTCCTTCTAACGCTGGGAAAGGCCCTAGTTACACAATTATACATTAACTAACAAATAATTATACTCGCTGCAGTGGGAAGTGAGTTATTTTGCAGTTCTCTGTTAGAGTGTTCAGATGCCTTGTATGAAATCTGGAGAGATTAAATTCCTTTACCCTCCTTTATAGTTGGGCTGCTTGCTGGGCATGCTGCAGTGCTGGCATCTAAATCTGTTTGGAGAGCAATGTGGAAAGCTTAACATTGGAATATCCATTATCATGATAGTGTGTGGAAGTCTGGCACCCATCAACAGAGCGGTGTGGGAAGGATATTACTAGGGCTCATTGGTGAAACAGAGAGGAGATTTTGATACCTAACTTCACTAATTTAGAAGAGTGGGAAAAGCTGGTGCTGTCATGCATTGGCAGGACACTGTGGGGAGACTGCTCTTGCAGTGAACAGTCAGACACTGTAAGAAAGGACGGCAATGGAACCTGCGGGAAGGGTTGTGCAGGCTGGCTGCCGTTGCAGGGCATTCGCTGAACACATGCAGGCAACAGGGACCAACTGATAAATAGGTACTACAGCTATTACTCTTATTTTCCCCCAGAAGTTGGCTTTTACATCCAGAGTGACTACATTAAATTTCCTTTCCTCCATTTAATCTAAATGCAAACTCTTATCTGGTTCTGAACAGAGATCCCACATTTTAGGATCCTGTTCAAATCTGAACTTTCTCTTTCCTTCTGTTCTCTAATTCATGGGGAATGCCTCAGAGTCCTGGAGTTTTCACATCAGAAAACTACTGTTAGGCTGATCATGGTTTAGAGATAAAGCCTGAATTCATTCCTGTGTAGCTAGCAGGATTCAATCCCTTGAATAATAGAAGGGGTGCAATCTGGCACTACTAAGAAGATGGATCAAATGATTTCTTAGTCTTTTCCATGTATGACTTCTGCATTTTCATGCAGTCTTTTCGCAACAGGTGAACAGTCTGTTCACCACATCAGAGCCATTGTGCAGGGATAAGGAAGAGCTCATGCTACAAGCTTGATAATTTGCCAATGCCTACAGAAGCAATACGCACCCTTCAGTTAGTCACTGCCTTGAATTATGTTTTCAGTTGTACCTTGTGGAGTGAATAGCAAATAACTTTAGACTATAACACTGCCCAATCTGTTCCTCCATATGCACTCCTCTTCTTTTCCAAAGAATACACCGTACCATGCAGCTAATGAGAGCACTCAAATAACAATGGAAAGAATGACTGTGATAGTCTGCTGAACTAACTTTAAAGCAGCATATCCAGTTCTCTGCCTTTTTTGGTCAGTCTCTTCACACCATTTATGCCTGCTTTTAAACAGACCGGATAGAATAAGAGATTCCGGCACACCTGATCCAATTTTTAAACTGAGCTCCACAAAAAAGGCAGACATTATGCAGTCTTAGAGGAAAAATAGTAGAACTTTCCCTGTTCCCAGCTCAGTTGTATTTCTTAAGACCATTCAAATGATCTGTTGGTAAAGTAGGCAAAGATGGAATGCAGGACACAAAAGGTCACATCTTTCTGCAACGCTGAGTACTGTCTCACATATGGGAGGCCACTTCCAGGCTATATATCAGAACTCACAAATA